TCTACTGTCATCCTCTCCCAGTTTATTATTTGCTTAAATGTATGCTGAAAATTTACCCTTGATAAAGAGGGCAATGGGATCCAAAAAACAAAAGTGAAGTAATTCTGACACTCTCAGCCCTCTGTCCGGGTTCTATCCTCACTCAGTCACCTGTCCAGAAACCCCTCTGTAAACTTCTATACGTATCTTTTTTTTTTTTTTTTTCCTTTAAACTTGATTGTGCCCAGGCTGTGTCCATTGTGAGGCGTGTGCTGCAGGCACACTGTGTGTACCAGTTTTAACTGTTCACGTAGTCAAGACTCACCATAGTGGGTTGTGATAGCAGCATAAGGATCCCTGACAACCTCCAGATCACACTTGGAGGTGAAGCACTTGTGGAATGTGGAGTGAACCTTGACAGGTTTGATTTCTAAACCAAACATTGCATAAGTGGTTGTTTAGTTCTCTGGCAACAAATTTATTGCTTTCAGGAAGAGTTCAACTTTCCAGAGACTGGGTAAGCACCCTGAAACCAAGGACTTGTTTTATAATGTTAAAAATTAGGTGTTTTAGGAAGAAAAATAGTTGAGCTCATTTTCTGTCTTCTGTGGGAAAAAGAAGTTCCTGCTTATTTATTTGACAGATATTTTAAAATTGTGTCCAGAGAGCAGATTTTTTTTTTTTAAAATATTTTTTAGCTGTCAGTGAACTATTTATTTATTTATTTATTTGGTGACTCTGAGGATTGAACCCAGGGCCTCACGCAAGCCAGGCAAGTGCTCTAACACTGAGCTACAACTCCAGCTCAGTGAGCAGATTTTTGACTAAATTACAAGACTGATTTCTTCGGCGGGGGCAGGGGGAGAGGGAGGGAACCAGAAAAGTCCCATTTCCACCTAGAGGCAGGTGGGCTGTGGCTTGCCCACCCACCCTAGGCTTGCTGTTTATTTACACTCTTCTAAGGATTTTAGTTGGTTTCTAAAATGATAAACCAGACATATAGAAAAACACCAGAGTGAAACTTGACGCAGAAAACTGCCGGCCACTTGTTGGATGATGTCCTCCCAAGGATTCCTATGTACAGGTTGGAGCCTGCTGGGAACCTCAGTGATTTCAATTAATGCTCCTCTCTCTGGCTTTCTTTTTTTTTCTTCAGTATTTGGGATCAACCACAGGGCCTTGCACATGTTAGGCAAGCACACTACCACTGAAGTATATTCCCGGCCCTTATTTTTATTTTATTTTGAGACGAGGGCTTGCTAAGTTATTGAGGCTAGCCTTGAATGTGCAATCCTCCTGCCTCAGCCTTCTTTGTTGTGGATTAGAGTTGTGTGCAGTTGTGCCGGCTTTTTTTTTTTTTTTTTTGGAGCTGGAATGGAACCCAGGACCTTGTACCACTGAGCCACACTTCCAGCCCTCTTCTGTCTTTCTTGCCTTTCTCCTCCCTCTTTCCTTTTTTTGTTTCCTTCCTTTCTTCTAGTAATTCACTGGAAGGAACATTTGTTAAGTGCTTAGTGCAGGGAAAGCACATGTCGTATTCTGACGCGGTGACTTGTGTAAATTTCCTGTCTGTAAAATGGGAACAGTTGTAGCTAACCACAGGGGTGTGTCATTCACTGTAAAATCATAGGAGCTCAGGTGTGATGCCCTGCTGAATGAAACTGACTTCTTCCCTTCCCATCACATAACTATTGCGTTGCCGTAACCTGGGTGGGCATGTGTTTTAGTGCTCCCAAGCTGTGGACCAAGGTGTTTCAGCATGTCCAGCCACACCGAGAATGTGGCCCTGCTTGTGTTTCTAAGTGGCTCACTCCCCAGCCCCACCAGGTACTTGCAGTACCTGCACCCACCTTGTAGATTGTTGCTCCTGGCTGTGAGGGTGCCATTCTCTCCATGTTCAGTATCCACCCATCTTCACATTAATCATCCTTCAGCATGGAACTCACATAGGACACGTGGGAGAAGATACCTCCCTGCGGTGGTGTGCACGTCCCTCCTCCCCAGACCTCCCATGCCCAGTTAATAACTCACGCCTTTGCAGTTGCGATATTTTATATACTTGCTAGTCACCCATCTCTCATCCTGCTCCAGCCCACATGGCCTGTTTTCTTTCAAGTAGGTACTAAAATTTGTTTCCTACTACAGAGTCTTTGCACTGTGCTATTTTGTCCCAATCCTATTCATTACTTTAAACTTCATCTCAATGCCCCTTCCTCACCAAAAGCCTCCCTTGGCCACCTGACCATATCAGGTGCTGCCTCTTGGGGAGCTTCCTGAGGGCATCATTGTACATTTTGATTTTCATTAGATCTTTTAACACATTGCATTTGGTAAACATTGGTTGAATGAATGAGTAAAGAATTAGTGGTGGCATATTTGCACACCCTTGTTCATAGCAGCATTATTCATGGTAGCCAAGGAGTGGAAACAATCCAAGTGTCATTGTTGGGTGAATGAATAAACAAGATGTGTCATATGCATGCAGTGGGATATTATTCAGCCTTTAAAAGGAAGGAAATTCTGATTCATCTTCAACTTGGATGAATCTTGAGATTGTTATACTAAGTGAAGTATGCCAATTAACAGAAGGACAAATACTCTGTGATTCCACTTAAGTGAGGTATCTAATGTAGTAAATTCATAGAATCGAAAAGTAGAATGGTAGTTGCCAGGAGTTGTTGAATGGGTACAGAATTTCAGTTTTGCAAGGTAAAGAGTTTGCAAAAGATTAGTTGCACAAATGTGTGAATACATGACTGTCTTAGTCCATTCCTGCTGCTATAACAAAATACTTAAAACTGAATTGGTTATGAAGAACAAAAATATATTTCCTCACAGATTTGGAGGCTGAGAAGTGCAAGATCAAGGTGCCAGCAGTGTCCGATTAGGGCTGCTTTCTGTTTCCAAGACAGCACTTTATTGCTGGATCCTCATGTGACAGAAGAGGTGGAAGAGGCAAATGTTGCATCTTCACATACTAGAAGACAGATGGGTTTTATAAGGGCCCAGCTAGTTCTCTGGAGCCGTCTTGACTTAGTTACCTCCTGAAGGATTTACCTCTTAATGCTTTTATACTGAGCCTTTGGTTCTGGCGTATGAATTTTAAGGGTTGCTCATGCATTCAAACCAGTTGCCGAACTGTATCCTTAGAAATGGCTCAGATGATAAATTTGGTTTTGTGTTTTTTAGTACAATTAAAAACGTCAGTATAGTCACACACACACACACACACACACACACACACACACACACACACTTTGGGAAACCAGTGTAAAAAAATCTTGTATTCCAGGATACCTGACTTCTGGACAGTATACATGAACTTTTATTGGAAAGAATTACCTGTTTCCTCCTCAGGGTGAGGTCGGGAGGCTTCCTAAGGACTGTGAGTGAAGGAGTGGGCTGGCTTGAGCCTCCCACAGATGCTTGGATCCTCAAACTTCTCTGTCTCTGAGGCCCAGTGAACCAGCCCCTGGCTGTCCCGGCTTCCAAGGGTCCCCCTTTGTACCTCCCACCCTCTTCCTTGTAAGATTTGAAATGTAAACGTCCCTTCCCTTTCGGTCCTTTTCAGCTGTTATAACCTAGGAAGAACTGTGTCAAAAACTTCCTGGTGGGATCCTGGGAAGGGCACGAACATTTCCAGGTGCCTGTTTAGCACAGGTGCTGTACAGATTGCCTCCTTTCTTGTTGACTGTGTGAGGTGTAGATGGTTTTTTTTTTTTCGGTTTTATAAAGGATACAATATATCCAAAACCCCACACCTAAGCCACAGGACAAGGTTGCATCCCAAATCTTTCCTGCCACTGCTTCAAGTTGTTTTCTACATAGTTTCTACTTTACAGTTCAAGTTGATATGCATCCCAGTCTCAAATTAGAAGGTGTGCTCTTCATCTGCACACCATGCGGCCCAGCCCTGGGGGGAATGTCTCATACTTTATGGGGGCAGGAATGCCCGGGGCTCCCCAGGACCATGATTCTGAAATCCTAGGCCCAGCTCTCAAGTGCAGGCATCCCATGCAGCCTTAGCTAGCTGTTCAGAATCTGAAACTTTGTACTTCTACTCCTCCCTGTCCTCCACTTAAACTCTTTTGTTATTTTCTTATCTGCTAAGCTCACAGAAAGTTTAACAAGAGGAGAGAACTTTGCTGACTAAGCACCCTGTCTCCTGAGTGGGCTCTGAACTGCCCGGATTTCTGGTATCTTCTCCTAGTTATCTCCAAGATTGTGAAACATTTTGTCTTCATGGCTTTTAGTTTCTGTGTAACACCACTGGTTCAGTTTATTTGAAACACTACTGGTTTACTTCTAGCTGTTTTGGACTTGGTATGTTATATATGGATCTATGAAAATCAGTGTCAAAATTTTCTCTCTGTAGTGTCTCACTATCCTGGGGGGATTGGTTCTAGGACACCCGTGGATACCAAAGTGCAGATGTGCAAGTCTTTATACAAAATGGTATAGTTTTTGTACATCACCTGCAGGTATCCTCCCATATCTTTTGAATCAGCTCTAGGTTACTTACAATAGTTAAAATAATGTAAATACTACGTAAGTAGTTGTTATACTGTATCTTTCAGGGAACACTGACAAAGTCGCTACATGTTTTGTAGAGACAAAAAAAATTTTAAAGTATTTTTGATCTATACTTGGTTGGATGCAGGACCAGTGGATATGGAGGGCTGACTGTATTTAATAAGTTCCTTTGAAGTTCCAAATCATTTTATATGCCCTCAAGAAATATCTACTCCAGTGCCCCAGTTCCCTCACGTGGGAGAGAGGGAGGGAAAAAGAAAGCTGCTAAAGTGGCCCAATTCCAGCCTGCTTTCTTTTTGCCTCACAAGTGGTGCTTTTCAAAGCCTTTGGCGTCCTTGCTGTATGGATGTGTCACTGTGCGAGATGACAACGGATTGCTGGGAATGTGGGCCACTATTGTGTCCGCCTTACGTAACCACGTGGAGTGATGGAAATGGGCGAACAGCCTGGGAGGTAGGCAGTGGCCGGGCCCCTTAATCTCCAGAGGCATGAAGACCGCTCAAGTCCTCCAGAGGATGTGGATCCAGGCTGTTAAAAAGTTGGGGAGATTGAAAGGCCATGTGAGTCCCCCTACATGCTCTCCCCCTTTCTTTCCCAACATTTCTTTGTGGGAAGGGAGGGGGAACAAACCCCATCTCACAGTGTCTCCTTTATCCTCGGATTTATTTGTGCCCTGGCAGCCTTCAGTAACAAATTGTAAGATCACACGTTGTGGACTGTAGTCAATGGTGGGTTTTTAAATACTTGTCTTATTTTTAGCAGACCTAAAGTGAAATTGATAGCTTCTTGCTGCATTTATGAATCAAAGGCTGCTGTTTTCTATGTGCTGGGAATCTCTTAGCATGGTTTTGCTTCCTAGGTATAGATTAACATACTGTTCTGTGTGTGTGTGTGAGAGAGACAGAGAGAGAGTATGTGGTTTCTTGTTTGAAGAGAAAACATTTTGTTTTCTCATACTGCAGAAATCTATATTCTTTTTCTTATGTCTAGTCTTACGTCTAGACATATAGGAAAAATGTTTCCCACATGTTTTTTCCTTTTATATAAGTTTGGGTGTATGTAGCGCTGTCACATGTGTATTTATTTTATGGTTTGGGACTTTTGTTAATCATGTCCCTAAAGGGCAGCTTTGATTAGTCTTTGCTTTTTGCTATGGTCTTTCTCAATAGGAAACAGCAGTTTGTAGACATAGAGTCTAAAAGTTGCCTGGTCAGAGGGACTTTGTGAAGCTTTGGTATCAGCTTTGTGATTATTTTTTAAAACGTTTTTTTAATTCTTTATGGAACATGAATGATGTTTTTCTCTCTTTGGTCAAAGTTTCCAAAGGAAATAAACTTTATAAAAAGTAGGATTTAAAAAAATAAAACAATAGACCAAATACCTTTTTGCTTTAGTTTTTTTTCTATTCCTTCTTTGCACAAATACCTTACTGTTAACACAGAGCTTTTTATTTATGGTAGAAAAATTAGCCCACTTTTATCTTTCCCTGGCCTCTAGGAACAATTTGTTATAAATGGAGGAGGTTGTTGTTAACACTAGTTATAGGGAAAGTAAAAGTGATCAGGAAAAGTGATAAAAAACACTTTGGAGATGCTCCTGCTGGATGGAATCATGGCCCCTAAGTTGAAGAGGTGACGTGGACAGTCTTGCTTCCTGCAGCTCCCCGGGCTTGACCTGTATCTCCACACATGCCCAGCACCCCTGCCTTTGTCTGCCTCCTTCTCCTCCCCAGTCACTGGTACCACACCCTACCTGCCCCACCTCCAGTAGAAATGACTGCACTCTCTTTTGCTCTTTCATTGCAAAATTGGGACTTCGTTAAAATTTGGTATTAGGTATGTCATTGGGTATTCAGTCATTGGGTAGGAATTAGGTACCCCTTGATGTTAATTCTCCTATTTTTTAAAAATTTATGAAATGATTGGTAACTGTAAAAAACTTAAGTATCTAAAGCATAAAGCATAAAAATTAAATACCATGATGCTCCCAAGAGAAGCCACATATGTTCAGAAAGACCCTGACCCATCCTGGCAAATGGCACCACTGGTAGAGGAAAGCTAAAGGAGCCAAGAGGCTTGTCCCATGTTCCCAAGAGATTCTGAGGAATCTCAGCTGACTCTTAATATAAATAGGGACAAGGTCAGTTTTGACCGACTTGGTCTTAAATACTTAGCAGGAGAGTATAGCCAAAGCACAGTCCGACATAGACATTTAAGAGGAAAATATATATATTTTTAATATAACTTAGGGTATGTTCTTGTGTCAGCCCTACCGAAAGTAAGTAAAGTTGGAAATTCTAAGGGGAGGTTTCTTGTGTGGGAGTGCCTAATAGTAATCACAAAGGACTCTAGAGTCAAAAGTTTGTCCTGAGTCAGTTTGAGCCTGATCTCGAAGACCTACAAATCTTCCTGACCTTCTACATAGATCCGTTTTTCATTGATAAATTTGTGAGTTGCTATCTTCATAATGTTCAGAGACTGGCTGGAATACTAATTGCTTAATTTTTTTAATTTTTTAAACAAAAAAGTAATGATCTTAGCATGATCCCTACCCTGTGTATGCCTTCTCCAGTCACCTGCCATCTGTACCATTGGACCTCTGGACTGTCCTGATGCTGAATATGCTGAACTGTCCATGCCCCACCTGATACAGAATAGGGACTTTTGGTCACTTCTCCCATCTCCCCTCTTTCAGCAGGAAGCTGCTTGGACATGTTATTGTTCATTTTCCATAGAAATGGAATACAAAAATTGCCAGTGGGGAAATGTCACCGTGGTCCACTTTATGCTTTGATTATAGCCCTTGCTGCTCTGCCACTGTGACTTATTTTTAAAAAGGACACATTTCTCTTCCTCTGTCCCTGCTCCTCCCTAATCTCTTCCCTCCCTAATCTCAGGGGAAACAGGATTACTGTTTTTCCCCATCCTAGGCACAGTTATCTGTCACTGAGTACACACCCACCGTAGGAAGGAAATAATTCAGACTTGGGAATGATGTCACCAGAGATCTCAGAAATGACTCTCCCAAATTAACAGTTGAATTACACTCGAATGGAGAACACCTGGAATGTAGCCTTTGAATCACCTCTTTAAAAGTCCCTGTTCCCCTTGATGAGCAGAATCACAGCCTCTGGGACAGGAATCCCCTGTGCTTCTCCTTTGCCAACAAAGCAATTAAACTTTTTCCCTAAACACATACAAAACAAAGCAAAATTAAATACCATGAACCCACCACACACATCCATAAACCCTCACTAGGATGAAACCCCAAATCCTGTGTCCTTTCCCACCTCATCTTATGCCTCCTTTCCAGACTGCTTCATCCTGAATTTTGTATATTTCATTCCCTGTCCTTTTCTGTATCATTTTACTCCATACACACATGCACATATGTCCCTAAACAAAAGATTAGTTTTGTTGCCTTTTTTTTTTTTTTTTTTAATACACCTAGAAATAATGCCTCGCTCTACACATCCTTCAGGGGTGTGTCTGAGATGTGCCTGTGTTGTGGTGTTATGTGTGATTGGGGTTTGTTTGCTTTCCTTGCAGAATAACATTGTATTTTAGAACTATATCACAGTGTATTTTTCTGTTCTGCTCTTGATAGATGCTTGGGTTGTTTCCAGGGTTTAGCTGATGAGGACATTGCTGTTGTGAATACTCTTATCCGTCTGCCCTCATGCACTTATTAATGCATTTCTCTAGGGCCTCCACCCAGGAAAGGAATCACTCCTTTGTGGAACATTTGTCCCTTTAACTCTGATACGTGTGTGCTCTTCCTATGACCCTGCATGGAAAGCTCCGCAGTGCTAAGCAGCTGCCTTCTGGCATTCCAGCAAAGAAAGACCCAGCAGTGACAGCCAGTCTGTTCTGCACACAGATGAGCAGGTTGTGTGGGGCCAGAGCCTGGTGGCCCCATTTGAACTGCATGAGCTGTCTCTGCTAAGCCAGTGCATGCTGACAGCTTGTCCCTGGGGATGTACCCGAGCTGATAACTCTGAGAAATAAATGTGATTATGTGGGGTGCTCTGTGATTCTAAATAGATGATATATACAAATGAGGTGGGAAGATACTCAGTGGTTTGCTTGTGGGATGCACCCATGGGTAGTTGGTAAAACTCAACGGCTTTAGCTGTGTTATTCACTAATGTATCTCAAGGGCCACAAAACAACATGTTTGCACATAGTGGATGCTCAGTAGATATTCTTGAATGAATGACATAAGGCTTTGCCCTGAGACTTGCAAAAAGTCACAGCTCTGTGGGCTAAATGAACATAATTGTGGTGTATTCAGTGCTTCCAGGAGCTATTAAGATTTTATTTTTTGTTGCTGGGGATTGAACCCTGGACCTTGCGCACACAAAGCATGTCCTCTATCATTGAGCTGTACCCCCAGCCCCTTTTTTAGATACCGGAAATTTATTGTCTCATGTCTGGAGGATAGAAGTCTGAAATCAAGGTGTTATTAGGGGCAAGGTTGGTTCCTTCCCAGGGCTGTAAAGGAAGGCTCTGTTCCAATTCCTTGGCATAGAGTCAGTGTTCTCCTTCTCTTCACTCTGTGTGTCTTCCATGAATGTCTGTGTCAAAATTTCCCCCCTTTATAAGGACACAAGTCAAATTGGATTGGGGCTCTCCCTAGTGACCCTTACCTTAACTCCATCATCTGCCAAGACTCTATTTCCAAATAAAGTCACAGGGTCTGGGGGCTAGGACTTTAACACCTTTTGGGGGGTGGGACACCCCCAGCCTCTTAAAACATATTTCTACCCTGATTTCCCTGCCTTGAAAATTAAGATTTTGTATTTATCACTTAGTCTAGCAGAACATGTATGCCCTCAATATTGTGTTTGACAGTTAACTGAAGATAAAAAGCAGCTTCTGGAAGTCTAAGTGTCATACCAAGTTGATGAGGTCTTCAAGCTCCAAGCAAGTTCACGACAAGGTGTTATTGATTAAAAATTGATTGAGTTCTATTGATGAAGGTAGTGGTAGGAGAGATCCTGTCACTCACAAAGTTCAATTTGATCTTCCCTTATAGCTTATTACAGAAAGTCGTCTTCTTCTTTTAACTTTAAAGTACTTTAAAAAAATTTTTTTTAACTTCTGAGGTAAAGTCCTTTTTTTCTTTCAACTTCCATAATAAAATATAGAGTTATCAGGTATCCCTGGGAAAATATGTGTATTATACATATATTTCTATGCCATTACATCATATATATAATATGCATGCAAGAATTTGAAGACTTTATTGAAAGGGGAACATCTAAAAGGCCCTGAACCCTGGAGTTAATATTACTTAGCATTTTTTGTGCACATACACACTTTATTCTGCTTCAGTGGATAACTAGTGGAGCCAACTTTCACACGTGACTCTCTCACCTACAAAACCCCTACATCGTAATTTTATAACTTTTATAAATGTTTATAACTTATATAAATTTTATAACAATTTGATAACAATGCCTAAATACCCCAAACAATTAACTGGCAGCCCCCTCCCCCACTCCCACCCCCAAGAAAAAGCTAAAAATGGAACAGTTCTTGAATGACTGAATCAAAGTGTTTTTTCTTTTTTAACACATAAATATGTATGTTCCATTACTGTTTACAAAAAGCACAAACATAATTATGGAATAAATTTA